TGGGGAAAAATCCGTCGAAAATTCAATCACGCGCTTTCAGAGAGAGCGAGCGAGTGAGCGAACGTGCGGACCGGAGTGGTGCGGGCCGGCGTATCTATTACCGGCGCATTATGCAAAGATACCTTCCACGGACGCATTAACGCCGAAATGTCGATCTATCTCTTCTCCGCTGAAAATTTAATGGCACGCGTGAAATTGAATTATTATTGCGTCTCGTAAAATCTCACATGTTACATTGCTCCGAAATTGTTCGGCGAGTAAAATGATGCATCTGTCGAACGAAAATTCGGCTTAAAATCTTAGCCCGATTCGCAATTCTGTCTGCATCGTCAATTTTTCATCATTCCGGCCTCAGATGATTTACACGTCGATTCGAGCCGTTTTTGTCGCGAGCGCTCGATCGACTGATAAAAGTGACACCGGACAAAATGCGATATGCGGTTTTCGAAAGTTCGTCCGTGCAATTTTGTTGGTACGAAAGAGGGATGAGGGTAGGGGAGGTGGAGGCGGTTGCAGGCGTGAACAGAGCGATGTAGGGTGGACAGGATGCAGGTATAGGCAGGGATGATGGCGAACGGACGCAGAGCGAGGCGCGGAGCAGGGACACTGACGCGAGTCCGTCGGGTGCGAAAACCAAAACCGCAGAATGGAATTACTCCTGCTCAATCGTTTATAACGGCAGGATAAATGGATTAAACCGTCGGCGCGCGACTCGCAGTTTATTTGTCATCGCGCAGAGGCGCGGCCGGCGAGCCGCGTGTGTTTGCGCGCCGAAAGTCGCGCGCGAAATCTCGACATCGGGGATGAAAATCAGAACGCATCATCGACGACGCATCGCGAAATCTCATTTTCTGTCTCATTTTAATCGTAAGTCGGTCTCTCTTGATACGTCGACAAATCGATGCAAGCACTTGCAAGCACTGTTGGAAATTTATCATAATTGTTAATTAATTAATATATTATATGGTCTGAAGAAAAGAAAGAAAGAATTTAATTGGAGCAATCTGTTTCCTTTACTTGCAGCAAGATACGCGACGTAGAAAATTACTGGAACGCAGGGGAAAATGCGCGCGTAATGAATCCACACGCGGTCTCGCGTTGAAGTGAAATATCACAAAGCCGCGACGAAAGCTTTCTCATACCACGTACAAGGGGGTGCCTTTACGTTTGCGGACTTACTTAAATGGCGCGTCTAGAAGGAAGGGTGGATATGCATTACTGTCAAACGTTCGATAACGAAACCGCGGCGGACGGCGCGCTTCCGAAGTCTCATACAAACACCGCCACGCACGTCTCTTTCCTCCTCGTCGAGTAACATCATTATGCGCAAAGAAGGATAATAAGAACATTTCTACACATCCGACTCTTCTAGTTTTCCTCCTCGGCTTTTGTAGGGAACGAGCGGAATAGAATGAGACTCAAGTTTGTTTAAACAGTATAATTATTGCAACGTGCAACGCGGAACGCTTTGTGTTTCAACTATAAAATTTGCCCTTATCCAGCGACCGGGATCGCGTTGCCGTGTTCCCACGGGGAAATATTGTTCACGATAGCCGGGGCGAAGAAAGATCCCCCCCCCCTTCCCCTCTCTCCAATGTATCACCCGCGCGAGTCGGTCTCTGGTAACGACGGGCGGTGGCGGCGACGACGATAATGAAAAACGCCGGCGAGGGACACGACGGCTGCTTGATACGAGAAGGTAGATAGAAGCCGACCTGACGGGGGTTGGTAGGTGTTTGCGTCATGCGTACGTGTGCGAGGGGTGCCGCGGAAGGGTGCGAGAGTAGCCTGGGCATTGTTTGAAACGCGGACGCTTGGTAAAGCTGCGCGACGAAAGAGCCCCGGGAAGAGAGGAAAAAAACGCGCACCGTCTTCTCCGGCGAGAATGCGAGGGAAAAAAAAGAAAAGAAGATGGAGAAGTGATGGAGCGAGGTGTACATAACGCATACTTATATCGTCACCGTCAACCAAGTGGCTTCGGCAAAGAGTCGCGAACGATTTTAGAGCGATTTTAGAGCGTTACGCCGCGTTAATGGAATCGCGAGATTCTGTTTCGTAAGTGCTCGCGATCGCGCCGCGAGCAAGCTCACTTTTGTCGCAGCTTTCTCCACAGCGCTGAACAGACGGCAGAACGAACGACTGAGTGTTCGAGAGTGAGTTTCGGTTTTAAGCCGAAATTAAGATTCTGTCGACCCTCTTATGCATATTTGGCATTCATACGTTTGAAATTACCTTTGTGTAGCGGAAAAATGCTGTTAGTGCATGTATAATTCACAAAGAGATTTACATGGAATGTTTTCAAGTTCAATTAGAAAATTCTGATCTTGACGAAATTTCGAGGAAATAAAGGTGTTTAAATGTACAATATTATTGAGAAATGTGTCTAATAATAATTATATAATATTAGCGTATTACACTTTTATCCGTGTAAAAATTACGTTTGGGTTGTTGCCCTCTTCTCTGGTTTGCAATCAGCCCAATTCCTGCTGCGTTAAATCAACTAGAAAGGAGGCATTCGCCGAATTAGCTGAACTCGAACTCACCCGGCAAATGCAAATGGTCGAAATAGTAGTGTCGTATTCCAAGCAAGAATTATTCTTGCCGGTTGGTTTCAGTAGTTGGTCGGGCAACTACATCGAGGGAATGTCGGAAAGTCTTGCTTATTAAAGGCAACATGACGCGACGACCGCATTGTTGCTGTTTCCTGTAAGATCTCACGGCGAAAAGCTCACGGCAATATCAGTTGATTTGAAGAAATGTGAATCTTAAAGAAGTTGTTGAATACATTATTATTCTTCTGTTGATTATTTTGCACCGACGAGTAATGGGATATCTCATTTTTAACGTACGCCAATATTTAAATAACATTGTATTATTTACTACTAGTTCTTTATTTTATCCGGATTTGTATTAATTCTAGAGCAAATTTGGTAACGATTTAAATAGAGATAAATCTAAGAATTTTTTATACGAATAATTTATTTTTGACAAGAGCGAATTATTTATCTGAAGCGTTTCCTCATCAATGCAACGACGTTAACGAAGCGTTCTATTTAAATCACAAATGCCGCGTCAAAGCGTACTCGATCGGTAGTTTTTTATCGCTAATTGGAGCCTGAAATATTCTTAGTTTATTTTCTAGACGAGTGTCCTTTGCGTTTGTTAAAAAGCTTTCTTAATCCTTCGATTGTGGCGCACTTGCGAATAACGACTTAATTGCACCAGGCGCATCAAATGTGCCAATGTCACGAGTCTGCTCTAGGCAATTTCTCACAAAAGCGAGCAAAAAGTTTTCAATAAGCAGCGCAGAAAAACATTCAATTCTGTTTTCCGACTCGTAAATGAGAAGTGCGCAGTGCGCCGACAATTAAAGAAATTACACACATAATATTTGACACTTTAATAATGCGTCGCGAATGCACCGCCGACGGCGACGCGACGCGATTTAATCGCCAGTGATAATTGCATGCGCTCAAAGCAAACAGCTTCTGTGAGAGCACAGCGCGCATTGTCAAAAGTAAAACAAATTAGTTTTGCCAACTACAACTAGCGATTTAATATTTTTAAAACACAAATTAACGAACTCGCGTAGCATTCTGTTGTTGCGTTTTAATTTTCCTCTGTAAATATTCTGTCGATATTAATTAATAACGCGGAACATTCCATAATTAAAATATCATGGGAAGCTTATCAAACTTTATTTCGCGCTTTAAATCGCTCGATAAACCGCGCCGTTATCCTTTGCGATGTATTTTCCGTCGTGCTTAAACCGGAACGAGGACACTCGGTCATTCCGAACGCCCGAACTCGGCCGAACGTTTAATTGAATTTTCGCTCGTTTCACCGATTGAGGGTGCTTTTGAAGTTCTTCACCGACAGCGCGAATGCGGCAGCAATACTTTCGTAGGAGACATCTTAAATCCTGAGGAAGGAGATCAAAACAAATCGGCTTTGCCTAGGCTTCCTTCCGGGAGGCTCAGCACGAGGGAGGACGCTGTTCTGCGCGAGGGGTTATTCTTAATATTTGTAAGGTTTTCATCTCGCTACGAAGAAGAAAATGAGGAAGCGGGGTAGGGCGGGCACCCTCCGGCATCGCGGATATACGCAAATCGCGGATTAGAAACGAAGGGCGAAAATGTCGGCTGATCTCCTCTTCGCCGGCGAGCTCGCCTTAAGCGTCGATGAAAATCTGCAGTCTAGCAGTTTTTTTTTTTATTCACGATGAAAACGCCGGTTAAAACGAAATGTAAAAAGAGTATGAAAGAAGTTCTCGGCAACTTGAAGATATAAAAATGTGAATGCTATTTAATTCTGACTAATTCAATTATATCTGCGTATCGGCAAAACTGTATATTACGGTATTAGATTATCCAGTTGTATATCGCAAATATCGGATTAACGAGAGTGACTCTTCGTTTTCAGCTTGACAAGCGAAATAACGTTACGATAGTCGATGGATTTCTTCGCGGCGGGTTATGTCGCCGGACGGTGATTACGCCGCGATACGCGTATCTTGCATGTTAATACTGACAGCGCATAATCCGCCGCTGGCGCAAAAGCCGCCGACAGTCATAAAATTAACTCGTCAGTCCTAGAGTGACTCAATGAAAAGATGACACCGCGGGGATCACTCGAATCATTAATATTCATTACACATCGACTAGTCCAACACAAAGTACCATAACGGCGCGTCATTCCAGCCGAAGAACTCTTCACGCGTTTTTGCACATTTATCCCAGAACGAATTTATGATGAACAAGGATATATTTTTATTTCATCGAATAAATTAGAAAAAAATGCTTAGAAAACTCAGTGTAATTGAATAACTAAAGTAATTGTCGCGAAAATCGCAATAAAAATCGCGAGCAAGAAATAAGAATTTTAAAAGACAGAAATTTTGTAAAATAAATTGTAATCGTTACGTGAAAGACACAAGTAATTTAATATCCATTGAACTTAACGCGGGAAATGATTTTGCTGGCAGTTTTGCGGTCTCCAAGTCAGGTGAGCGTGACAAATGGAAACGGGGCGATCATTGCTAAGCATTCGTCGTTCGGCCGCAACTACCAATCCTTTTACTTTATTTGTCAATCTCAAAGATATCGAAATTGCGGCACGCATCGCCTTCGATGATTCTGAAAGAATGGTATTATAATCGTAAACGTGATCCGCGCGCGACAGTTACATCCGTCGCATACATACGCACTCTTAACATACATACTCGCTAATCACGAGAAAGTCCGGGCGCGCTTTCGTCGGCGAATTCTGTAATAGCGCGGCAACGATTTTCCGCGGAGGACGGCTGGAAATTTCGTGGACGGGCGACAGCTTTGTGGAGAGAGACCGCCAAGTCTCTCTCCGCGTACGTGACAAATGGAAACCGGTGGCTGCTGGCAGCTCGTTGAACACGCCACCGTTGTGGAATGACGACGCGGTACCGCTGCCGCCGCCGCCGCCGCCGCCGCCGCCGCTGGTGCTGGCGGTTGTGATCGCAACGCACTGCCGCGCCATCGTTGCCGTTGCCGGTTGTTGTGTTGTTGTTGGTGTTACCGTAGATGGAGAGGTTTAGGCTGCCCTGGGCTTGTTGCGCGCACAGGGCTCACGGCTACGTAGCTAATTACCTGATCCTACCGCGAACAACTGAGCGCGTTTATTGGAACGAAAGGGGATGAGAAGCGAGAGGGTGCGGCGGAGGGACCACGAGGGCGGCGGTACGGGGCCGCGCTACCGCCGCCGCTACCGCCGCTGCTGCTGCTGACACCAAAGACTTCTCAACATCCAGCCGGGGCTCGACTCGGTGGCAGCCATAATACAACTTCGTCCGGTTATACGAATATTTCGCCGTAAACTGGAGGCCAACGTCGAGAACCGCCGCCGGCATTCGGTTTCAATGGCCAGCAGCAGCAGCCGGCTCGGGCAGCAAGCCCTCTCTGATTCCGCTGAAAAAGGGAAATTCTACGACCGCGAACCTGTAACGGCGAATAATGGCGAGTTTATGGAACGGAAGTGGAAGAGAGAGAGAGAGAGAGGGAAAAAAGGAAAAAAAGCAGAGAAACGGGCACGGGCGGAAAATACACGCGATGTAGATATTTTTATTGGTAGCCAGCTATACATTTTACGTAAAACGGATCGAAGCCGAATCGCGAAAACTTCCTCAAGTGATCCTTCTCTAAGTAATTGATCCTTTGCAATTTCGTTAATTTGTTGTACTTACCGAAGCCACATTGAGATTGAAACTTTCTTATTTTGTTAATCGTGATTTCGACATTTCGTCTTTTATAATACTGAAATGCGCATAAATTTATGTACATTAATCTAAAATTGTATGTGACGATTTGCTCTCGAATTACTGCGAAGATGCGTATTTACGACGCATGCGAGCGTATGTAATACCGAATAGTAACTCGCGAGAGCTTTCATCCGTTAAAGCCCTGGACTCTCTAAGGCCTTTGGAAAATGCAATCACATTGCGTTCTCGTGAACGTCATAGGACGATCCTTGCGACGAGAAACTCTCAATGTGCAAGATGTCCTGCTGTATCGCACACTTTCTCAAACGCGAAGTTTGTCGTTATTATTTGAATTAATATATATTTCTTTGAGGGAAAAAAAAATTGTTATATCTCAGATATAAACGTATCGAATCGATTGTAGCTTGTAGATATCAATACTAAAATTAAAGAAGTAAAGTGTTGCGCAGTGAAAGAAAGCATCCAAGATACGATTATTTGCAAAAATTTCAGAATACAAGCTTAAGTCGTTCAAGTAATCGATTTTAAACGAGCCAATTTCCTTGATGACTGGCGCAGCATCACCTAATAGAACGGGAATTCTTCTGCCGCAATAATGCGGTCCGCGGACTGATGAAAAGCGATTCTCTTTGGACGAGGATGCATCGAGGTGGATGAGACTCCTCGGTGGTGAGACCGCATCGGACTGACGTGTGATATTGACCTGTGTGTCGGGATATGATAGGAAGGTATTTATACCGTAGCGGCGGCGAGCCGGATGGCAGGAGCCGCGGCGAATAGGAGGCAGACCCCGGTGTAGGAGACGATCGAGAGAACGAGCAGGGTGGAGCGCGGCGGACGAGAGGGAGAGAGAGAGAGAGGAAGCGGACGGAACCGGTGGGG